TCTCTGGCCTCTCTCTGGCCTCTCTCTCTCGCTCCCTCTCTCTCTGGCCTCTCTCTGGCCTCTCTCTCTCTGGCCTCTCTCTCTGGCCTCTCTCTCTCTCTCTGGCCTCTCTATGGCCTCTCTCTCTGGCCTCTCTCTCTCTCTCTCTCTGGCCTCTCTCTCTCGCTCTCTCTCTCTGGCCTCTCTCTCTCTCTCTGGCCTCTCTCTCTCTGGCCTCTCTCGCTCTCTCTCTCTGGCCTCCCTCTCTCTCTGGCCTCTCTCTCTCTCTGGCCTCTCTCTCTCGCTCTCTCTCTCTGGCCTCCCTCTCTCTCTGGCCTCTCTCTCTCTCTGGCCTCTCTCTCTGGCCTCTCTCTCTCTAGCCTCTCTCTCTCTAGCCTCTCTCTCTCTAGCCTCTCTCTCTCTCTCTCTGGCCTCTCCCTCTCTCTCTGGCCTCCCTCTCTCTCTGGCCTCCCTCTCTCTCTGGCCTCTCTCGCTCTCTGGCCTCTCTCGCTCTCTGGCCTCTCTCTCTCTGGTCTCTCTCTCTCTGGCCAGACTGCTGTGTTGTGAGCACACATGGTCCGTAACCATGGGAACAGCTCACCTGCATCTGGAGCAGGTTCTTGTCGGTCTCTGGTAGAAGGTCGATGGTTTTCTTCTTGACTTGGATCTGATGTTGTTTTTCCTCATTTTCACGCTCTCTTTTATTTATATCATTGGAAACCTGCAGAAACCAAACACAAGGATTAGAGAGACCGGAAAGAGAGACCAGAGAGAGAGAGACCAGAGAGAGAGAGACCAGAGTGAGACCAGAGTGAGAGACCAAAGAGAGGGACCAGAGAGAGCGGCCAGAGACAGAGACCAGAAAGAGAGAGACCAGAGAGGGGGACCAGGGAGAGAGATGTGGTCCCTGTGCTGTAGTCCCTGTGCTGTGGTCCCTGTGCTGTGGTCCCTGTGCTGTGGTCCCTGTGCTGTGGTCCCTGTGCTGTGGTCCCTGTGCTGTGGTCCCTGTGCTGTGGTCCCTGTGCTGTAGTAACTGTGCTGTGGTCCCTGTGCTGTGGTCCCTGTGCTGTGGTCCCTGTGCTGTAGTAACTGTGCTGTGGTCCCTGTGCTGTGGTCCCTGTGCTGTGGTACCTGTGCTGCGGTGAGGCTCCGGTGCTTCAGTTCCACTGTGAGCTGCTCCACACCTGTGCACAGCTGCTGCAGCTGCTGCTGTAACGCTCTGAGCTCCTCCTGCTGCTGCTGCTGACCCCCCCCTAAGGCCACCGGGGGGAAGGGGAGGGGGGAGGCCTCCTGGGGTCAGGGGTCAGAGGTCAGAGCACAGTACAACACAGGTCTTATGCCGCGTTCAGACCACAAACGCACAAACGCTGAAGCCTCGCTCACCAGAACGTCCTGACACGAGCCGGAAGTGGCGGAAGTAGCCGGCTCTGATGCTAACAGAGCTATGCTAGCGGCTTCTCGTGTAAAGATCTTCTCCAATAATGCAGCTTTGCAGCGTGTCTGTGTTCAGAGACCTTCACGGGCTTTATATAACAGTAGTATGTGTTCACGGAGGTGACTTTATATAACAGCAGTATGTGTTCACGGAGGTGACTTTATATAACAGCAGTATGTGTTCACGGAGGTGACTTTATATAACAGCAGTATGTGTTCACGGAGGTGACTTTATATAACAGCAGTATGTGTTCACTGTGACTTTATATAACAGCAGTATGTGTTCACGGAGGGGACTTTATATAACAGCAGTGTGTGTTCACGGAGGTGACTTTATATAACAGCAGTATGTGTTCACGGTGACTTTATATAACAGCAGTATGTGTTCACTGTGACTTTATATAACAGCAGTATGTGTTCACGGAGGTGACTTTATATAACAGCAGTATGTGTTCACGGAGGTGACTTTATATAACAGCAGTATGTGTTCACGGAGGTGACTTTATATAACAGCAGTATGTGTTCACGGAGGTGACTTTATATAACAGCAGTATGTGTTCACGGAGGTGACTTTATATAACAGCAGTATGTGTTCACGGAGGTGACTTTATATAACAGCAGTATGTGTTCACGGAGGTGACTTTATATAACAGCAGTATGTGTTCACGGAGGTGACTTTATATAACAGCAGTGTGTGTTCACGGAGGTGACTTTATATAACAGCAGTATGTGTTCACGGAGGTGACTTTATATAACAGTAGTATGTGTTCACTGTGACTTTATATAACAGCAGTATGTGTTCACGGAGGTGACTTTATATAACAGCAGTATGTGTTCACTGTGACTTTATATAACAGCAGTATGTGTTCACGGAGGTGACTTTATATAACAGCAGTATGTGTTCACGGAGGTGCGCCATAAGTTTATTTTATTATTAAACAGTATTTCCACATCGGTGAACACACTCGAAGCAGTTGCATAAAGTCACGGGACCATGACAGCACATATGTTAACAAACACTATGTCCCCATTGTCAACCCTGGTTTAGTCCTGGTTCAGTCCAGGTTCAGTCCTGGTTTAGTCCTGGTTTAGTCCTGGTTTAGTCCTGGTTTAGTCCTGGTTTAGTCCTGGTTTAGTCCTGGTTTAGTCCTGGTTTAGTCCTGGTTTAGTCCTGGTTTAGTCCTGGTTTAGTCCAGGTTTAGTCCCGGTTTAGTCCCGGTTTAGTCCCGGTTTAGTCCTGGTTTAGTCCTGGTTTAGTCCTGGTTTAGTCCCGGTTTAGTCCCGGTTTAGTCCCGGTTTAGTCCCGGTTTAGTCCCGGTTTAGTCCTGGTTTAGTCCTGATGTAGCTCCTGTTTTGGCTGTTTACAGTATGTTCAGTCTGCTCGCTCAGACCACCAATGTGATTGGTCGCTGCACGAACGTCCCGAGGAAAGGTTGAGCGAAGTTTATCTCCTGTGGGCGTCCATTTTCCGCTCCTGCTCCTCCTCTTTCACTTTCCCGCGCAGTCCGTGGGTCTCTACTGAACAGTCCGTGGGTCTCTACTGAACAGTCCGTGGGTCTCTACTGAACAGTCCGTGCGTCTCTACTGAACAGTCCGTGCGTCTCTACTGAACAGTCCGTGGGTCTCTACTGAACAGTCCGTGGGTCTCTACTGAACAGTCCGTGGGTCTCTACTGAACAGTCCGTGCGTCTCTACTGAACAGTCCGTGCGTCTCTACTGAACAGTCCGTGCGTCTCTACTGAACAGTCCGTGGGTCTCTACTGAACAGTCCGTGTGTCTCTACTGAACAGTCCGTGGGTCTCTACTGAACAGTCCGTGTGTCTCTACTGAACAGTCCGTGGGTCTCTACTGAACAGTCCGTGTGTCTCTACTGAACAGTCCGTGTGTCTCTACTGAACAGTCCGTGCGTCTCTACTGAACAGTCCGTGTGACTGTGTCTCTACTGAACAGTCTGTGAGACTCTACTGAACAGTCCGTGTGACTGTGTCTCTACTGAACAGTCCGTGTGACTGTGTCTCTACAGAACAGTCCGTGGGTCTCTACTGAACAGTCCGTGGGTCTCTACTGAACAGTCCGTGTGTCTCTACTGAACAGTCCGTGTGTCTCTACTGAACAGTCCGTGAGACTCTACTGAACAGTCCGTGTGACTGTGTCTCTACTGAACAGTCCGTGAGACTCTACTGAACAGTCTGTGAGACTCTACTGAACAGTCTGTGAGACTCTACTGAACAGTCCGTGTGTCTCTACTGAACAGTCCGTGTGTCTCTACTGAACAGTCAGTGCGCCTCAACAGAGCAGTCAGTGCGTCTCTACAGAGCAGTCCGTGCGTCTCTACAGAACAGTCCGTGCGTCTCTACTGAACAGTCCGTGCGTCTCTACTGAACAGTCCGTGAGTCTCTACTGAACAGTCCGTGTGACTGTGTCTCTACTGAACAGTCCGTGTGACTGTGTCTCTACAGAGCAGTCCGTGCGTCTCTACTGAACAGTCCGTGCGTCTCTATTGAACAGTCCGTGCGTCTCTACTGACAGAGCAGTCCGTGCGTCTCTATTGAACAGTCCGTGCGTCTCTACTGAACAGTCCGTGTGGGCCGAGAGGTCCATGCGTTTTGACGCTCGAACGCGTGTCACCATAGACTTTGCATTGAAAGCAGACGCAACACATGATCCGGTCTGAACGTGGCTTTAGCACTTTGGAACAGTGATATTAGAGAGCCCAGAGTGAGACCATAGTGAGACCAGAGAGAGACCAGACTCCTCACATGCTAACATGAGGCTGTGGCCTCTATGCTCCTGCTGGTCCTGTCTCAGTAGGATCAGCAGGACTCTCACATGCTCCTGCTGGTCCCGTCTCAGCAGGACCGGCAGGACTCTCACATGCTCCTGCTGGTCCTGTCTCAGTAGGATCAGCATGAGTCTTACATGCTCCTGCTGGTCCTGTCTCAGTAGGATCAGCATGAGTCTTACATGCTCCTGCTGGTCCTGTCTCAGTAGGACCAGCAGGAGCAGAGGGACCTACCTGAGTGAAGGTGAACTTCTGTGTGTGGCTGAAGTGGGAGCTCTTCTGTGGGAGCTGCTCTGAGCCTCTGAAGGAGCGCAGCAGCTCTGACAGCTCTAATCCAGAGGAACCATCAGAGGAACCATTAGAGGAACCATCAGCGGCCACAGCAGAGCGCACCTGCTCATCCAGGCGCTGACGCAGACGAGCGCGCTTCCTCAGCCGGTACTCCTGCAAGAGAGGGAGGTCAGACCAGGTACCATGAGAGCACACTCAGCTGGTACTCCTGCAAGAGAGGGAGGTCTGAGTCTGTATAAAGTGCTACGTCCTCACCTCTAGTCTGTATAAAGTGCTACATCTTCGCCTCTGTAGCCTGTATAAAGTGCTGCGTCCCCGCCACTGTAGCCTGTATAAAGTGCTACGTCCTCACCTCTGTAGTCTGTATAAAGTGCTACGTCCTCACCTCTGTAGTCTGTATAAAGTGCTGCGTCCTCGCCTCTGTAGCCTGTATAAAGTCCTACGTCCTCACCTCTGTAGTCTGTATAAAGTGCTACGTCCTCACCTCTGTAGTCTGTATAAAGTGCTACGCCCTCGCCTCTGTAGTCTGTATAAAGTGCTACGCCCTCGCCTCTGTAGTCTGTATAAAGTGCTACGCCCTCGCCTCTAGTCTGTATAAAATGCTACGCCCTCGCCTCTGTAGTCTGTATAAAGTGCTACGCCCTCGCCTCTGTAGTCTGTATAAAGTGCTACGCCCTCGCCTCTGTAGTCTGTATAAAGTGCTACGCCCTCGCCTCTGTAGTCTGTATAAAGTGCTACGCCCTCGCCTCTGTAGTCTGTATAAAGTGCTACGCCCTCGCCTCTGTAGTCTGTATAAAGTGCTGCGCCCTCGCCTCTGTAGTCTGTATAAAGTGCTACGCCCTCGCCTCTGTAGTCTGTATAAAGTGCTACGCCCTCGCCTCTGTAGTCTGTATAAAGTGGTACGCCCTCGCCTCTGTAGTCTGTATAAAGTGCTACGCCCTCGCCTCTGTAGTCTGTATAAAGTGCTACGCCCTCGCCTCTGTAGTCTGTATAAAGTGCTACGTCCTCACCTCTGTAGTCTGTATAAAGTGCTACGCCCTCGCCTCTGTAGTCTGTATAAAGTGCTACGCCCTCGCCTCTGTAGTCTGTATAAAGTGCTACGCGCTCGCCTCTGTAGTCTGTATAAAGTGCTACGCCCTCGCCTCTGTAGTCTGTATAAAGTGCTACGCCCTCACCTCTGTAGTCTGTATAAAGTGCTACGTCCTCACCTCTGTAGTCTGTATAAAGTGCTACGCGCTCGCCTCTGTAGTCTGTATAAAGTGCTACGCCCTCGCCTCTGTAGTCTGTATAAAGTGCTACGCCCTCACCTCTGTAGTCTGTATAAAGTGCTACGTCCTCACCTCTGTAGTCTGTATAAAGTGCTACGTCCTCACCTCTGTAGTCTGTATAAAGTGCTACGCCCTCGCCTCTGTAGTCTGTATAAAGTGCTACGTCCTCACCTCTGTAGTCTGTATAAAGTGCTACGCCCTCGCCTCTGTAGTCTGTATAAAGTGCTACGCCCTCGCCTCTGTAGTCTGTATAAAGTGCTGCGTCCTCACCTCAGGGCTGAGCCGGGACAGCAGGCCCTGGCTGTTCCACTCGCTGTTCCAGTCCTGGGTCTGGCAGCAGTGGGAGGTGTGCTGTTCCAGGACTGAGGCCAGGACTGAGGTCTGGGAGGTCTGGCTGGTCACCGGGGGCAACAGGTCTCTCTGGTATTCAAGCAGCTCTGCACACAACACTTTTTATTTATGTAGCGCACTGCACAGACCAGGGTCGCACACAGCACTTTGCCATTCTATTTTAGCCTCATAAACAACACGCAACACGCAGTCTTCGTGTTGTTTCAGACAGAGCCTCAAGAGTTACTTTTTGACTCTTTGGGGTGAGAGAGGATTGGCCAAGAGTGGGGGTGCTCTTTTTCACTTTTCTGCCTGACAAGGAGCAGAGTAGGGTTGGGCGATATGGCAAAAAAGGGAAATCTCGATTTTATTTCCTGCTTTGGACTATTTCAATTTTAAATCGATTTTCATTAAAGTCACTGAAAAAGCCGATTAGTTGCCTAAATTCGATTTATTGCCCAGCCCTAGAGCAGAGAGAGACCAAAGAGAGACCAGAGAGAGAGAGAGAGAGACCAAAGAGAGACCAGAGAGAGAGAGAGAGAGAGAGAGACCAAAGAGAGACAGAGGCCAGAAAGTGAGACCAGAGAGAGAGAGAGACCAGAGAAAGAGAGACTAAAGAGAAAGAGAGACCAGAGAGTGAGACCAGAGAGAAAAAGAGTCCAGAGAGAGAGAGACCAGAGAGAGAGAAACCAGAGAGACAGAGGCCAGAGAGAGAGAGACCATACAGAGACCGGAGAGAGAGAGAGAGCAGAGAGAGAGAAACCAGAGAGACAGAGGCCAGAGAGAGAGAGACCATACAGAGAGACCAGAGAGAGAGCCCAGAGAGAGAGACCAGAGAGAGAGCCCAGAGAGAGAGACCAGAGAGAGACCATACAGAGAGACCAGAGAGAGAGACCAGAAAGAGAGAGACCAGAGAGACAGAGGCCAGAGAGAGAGAGACCATACAGAGAGACCAGAGAGAGAGAGAGAGACCAGAGAGAGAGCCCAGAGAGAGAGACCAGAGAGAGACCATACAGAGAGAGAGCCCAGAGAGAGAGCCCAGAGAGAGAGAGACCAGAAAGAGACTGGAAGATGTGGTATGTCCTTTCACTTTTCTGTGGTGTGAAAGTTAGGTCCCTCAGCTTTAATGGTACCTTTGCAGAGGCCTGTCCGGTCTGGGCTGTGAGGCAGACTGAGAGGCTGGGAGTGGAAGTGGTGCAGGACGTCTGGATCCTGAAGAACAAGTCAGAAAAACACCTGTAAGAAGAAACTCTCACCATAGACTGAGCACAGATGGACAATGCTACGCTAGCTCAAAGAAACCCAACAGGGAAGTGCTCATGGTGAAGTTTGGCTCCTCTCTCTAGCTCCTATTGACTTATATGTAAACATAAACGGTGTCAGTTATTGGACTTCTGTGACAGTTTGTTTAGAACCAACACCATGTTCCAGATCTGCAGTTTGGTCTGAAACCGGTCAGACCCGGCCCAAGTGCATTGTGGGTCTGCAGAAACCCTGGGGATGTGTTCTGGTCATGTCCCACCAAGAGGAGACCAGAGAAGACCCAGGACACAGAGGGACTCTGGGAAGGCCTCAGGATCCCCTCAGATGAGCTGAAGGAGGTGTGGGGAGAGCGGAGACTGCTGCCCCCACCATCCGGCAATGTATGAAGGGGAAGTAAAGGTACGGTGCAGCCTCCTCTCCTTACGTAGGTCCGGGGCAGACGGCAGGTCCGGGGCAGACGGCAGGTCCGGGGCAGCCAGGGCACGTGCAGCTCAGCCTTCAGCGCCGCCGCGATGTCTTTGTGCAACAGAACTGATTTACCTGAAAACACAAGAACAAACATAGAACTAAGGTCTCAGGACTGGTCTGAGAACCGGTCTGAGGACTGGTCTCAGGACTGGTCTCAGGACTGGTCTCAGGACTGGTCTCAGGACTGGTCTCAGGACTGGTCTCAGGACTGGTCTGAGAACCGGTCTGAGGACTGGTCTGAGGACTGGGCTGAGGACCGGTCTGAGGACTGGTCTGAGGACTGGTCTGAGGACTGGGCTGAGGACCGGTCTGAGGACTGGTCTGAGGACTGGTCTGAGGACTGGGCTGAGGACCGGTCTGAGGACTGGTCTGAGGACTGGTCTGAGGACTGGGCTGAGGACCGGTCTGAGGACTGGTCTGAGGACTGGTCTGAGAACTGGTCTGAGGACTGGTCTGAGGACTGGTCTGAGGACTGGGCTGAGGACCGGTCTGAGGACTGGTCTGAGGACTGGGCTGAGGACTGGGCTGAGGACTGGGCTGAGGACTGGGCTGAGGACTGGTCTGAGGACTGGTCTGAGGACTGGGCTGAGGACTGTTCTCACCTGAGGACTGGTCTGAGGACTCGTTGCTCCCTCGTGGAAGCTTCTCCACCAGGAACATGAGCAGAGAGCGGATCTCGGGCTCAGAGCTGTAGAGGAACGTCTGGTACCCCAGCTCCCCCTTGTACCCCACGTCCTGGGACAGAAGAGACGGCAACCAGGTGGAACAAGTATCAACGGTCTCTACCTTTCTCTCGCTGGTCTCCCCCTTTGGTCCTGGTCTCTGGTCTCTCGCTGGTCCTGGTCTCTGGTCTCTGGACCTGGTCTCTGGACCCTGGTCTCTGGACCCTGGTCTCTGGACCCTGGTCTCTGGACCCTGGTCTCTGGTCCTGGTCTCTGGTCCTGGTCTCTGGTCTCTGGACCCTGGTCTCTGGACCTGGTCTCTGGACCTGGTCTCTGCTCTCTGCTCTCCCTCTGGACCCTGGTCTCTGGTCTGTCTCTGGACCCTGATCCCTGGTCTCTGGACCCTGCTCTCTCGTCCTGGTCTCTGCTCTGGACCCCGATCTCTGGTCTCTCCCTGCACCCTAGACCCTGGACCTTCGACCCTGATCCCTGGTCCTGGTCCTCACCTGGCAGGCCTGTGCCAGACTCATGCCGACCCTGAAGCGAGCAGACATCCCTGGGGGGAGGGAGGAGGGCAGTCCGTGGTCCAGTCCTGGGTCGATCACACGGAGACATGAGACCACGGCCTGGACCACCAGCTCACTGCTGAAGAGCTTCACACTGTCCACCTCCTCTGGCACCTCCCTGCAGGAGCACAGGCACCACAGCATCACAGCCGGGTTGTTTACACCCGTGTCAGATTCACAGCACAGGGATGACAGGAAGACCAGAGAGAGAGCAGAGAGCAGTGAGAGAGACCAGAGAGAGCAGAGAGAGAGCAGAGAGAGAGCAGAGAGAGAGCAGAGAGCAGAGAGAGAGCAGAGAGAGCAGAGAGCAGAGAGAGAGCAGAGAGAGCAGAGAGAGAGCAGAGAGAGCAGAGAGAGAGCAGAGAGAGAGCAGAGAGAGAGCAGAGAGAGCAGAGAGAGAGCAGAGAGAGAGCAGAGAGAGAGCAGAGAGAGCAGAGAGAGCAGAGAGAGAGCGAGAGAGCAGAGAGAGCAGAGAGAGGGAGCAGAGAGAGCAGAGAGAGCAGAGAGAGCAGAGAGAGCAGAGGGAGCAGAGAGAGCAGAGAGAGACCAGAGAGAGCAGAGAGAGAGCAGAGAGAGAGCAGAGAGAGACCAGAGAGAGCAGAGAGAGAGCAGAGAGAGAGCAGAGAGAGCAGAGAGAGAGCGAGAGAGACCAGAGAGAGCAGAGAGAGCAGAGAGACCAGAGAGAGCAGAGAGAGCAGAGAGAGCAGAGAGAGAGCGAGAGAGAGCAGAGAGAGAGCAGAGAGAGAGAGCAGAGAGAGAGACCAGGGGTAGAGAGAAACTGATCAATTGTCAACAAGTGCATTGCAGTAAATATAAATATCAAACTCAAAACTTTTGACAGAGGCCAGGGCTTTGGGTTTGTAGTCGTCTTTACTTAGAAAAGAGAACAGATAAGATAGACTTTATTGATCTCACACAGGAAAAAATTACAATTTACTGGTAATTTAGCCATCTTTTCATCCTTAAAAAGTTGGGTACTCCAGCTTTAAGTGTTGTTTGTAATAACGTGTGGCTAATCCTGAGTTATCTCCCACTTTACTTTCGTGCACAGTGGAAATGTGTCTCTGCAGCAGATGGTCATATGACAGACCGCACAGGAGCAGGCGTCAGCAGTGTCAGCAGGGGATACTTACGTGCCCACTTGTTTCAAAGCACGGATGAGGATCTTGTCCACTTCTTCCATCGCAGCAAGTCCAAAATATCCACAGAAAGACAAGTAAAACAAATGTAAAGAGCAGAAATCACATCTACTACTGTAGCTGCACCGCTGCTGAGCTGAAGGCTGGACGTTTTCACCCGACGCACTTTCCGCAAAGATCAAATATATTAACGGGAGGCTATGATAGCTCATGTTTACTCTCAAAAACATATAATTTAATTTATGAGACTTAATTTGAGGTTGTTTTATTTATTGTTTGACTACTTAAATCAGTCAAAGAGACAGCGGTATTACGGTTCGCTGATGAGAGCCTGGCAGAAGTGTGTTGGGGAAAAAGATCAGCAGCGAAGGCGTGAGCTTGCGAGAAAGTGAAATAATATAATAATATATAATAATATTTAATGCGTAATATTTAACTTAGTAACGAACCGTAATAATAATAATACTTTTTTTTTTAAAATATAGTAATTATATTGAAATTATAATAGTACAAAAAGTGAACGATATAAATTAATATTGAAAGAATGATAATGATAATAATTAATAAAATAAATATAAACATAGAATTGAAAAAATATGTAAGATGAAATAAAACTTGGATAAATCACAAATACATCCAAATATTGCAGTAAAATTACATAAAATAATACATTAATTAAAAATGAATAAACAAATAAAAAATAGAAACAAAAGTAAATAAAATATGAAACATGAATATCAAAAGGGTAAAATAATAATGATAAATGTGTAGCATTAATTGGACAGTTCTGTCTCTGACCAGCAGATGGCAGCAGATAACAATAACAGCACGGCACCGGAAATCGCGAAAATCGGTCTGTTATCCACCACCGCCGTTGTCCCCGCCGAACCGTGGATCTATGCCCCTTGCACCCGGCTGTCAATTCCTGTCTACCGGCCAGTACCAGCCCCGGTCCGAGTGAAAGTCAAGGTAAAGATGAAAACAACCGATGATCGCTGAGACGCGTCATGTGATATGGAGTGTTTACAGTAGGCCCATAGCGGGGGTGTGACGTCATGGCTTGTGTGTGTGTGTGTGTGTGTGTGTGTGTGAAACGTGACGTGTGTGTGTGAAACGTGACGTGTGTGTGTATAAATTAGGGGTCAAACGGAACACGTCACTTTTCTTGTGAATTAATGATTTCACATCAACTATGATTTAGAGCCAGATCTATACATTAAAGAAGCTATACCCCACTTTTGTTCATATAAATACTTATTATGACTTACAAGTTGTATTATAAAACTTGAGGTCATTGATTCAGCTGTGTATAAACTCAGGCTGTATAAAAGTGCTGAGTAGAGACTTTAGCGTGACGCTCGCTCTCCTCCAATCACAGAACGAGGCTGCGTCCTTTGGCCTCTACAGCGCTGCTAAACACAGTAGCATGTTAGCATAACTCCTCTGGCTGTAACTGCAGACACAGCAAAACAGCCCAAACGACACAACAGTGAGGAAGAGAAGAGGAACTAAAGCCAGAACATGATCAAAGAAGAAATCATTATCAAGCCCGGGTGAACATAGCTAGCTTACATCGTATCCTCTGGAGAGACCTGCGGGACTATCTATGGTAGGACTACATTCCGACGTGAAACTTGCAGTAATCCTTCAGTTATATATTTTTGTTAGCAGTGCGTTACTTTTCATCAGTGACTGTTGTACAGCTTACAAGAAGTTGCGCTCATGCTAATGTTAGCATACGTATCAGATCGCAAATAAAACTAGATGAGAGCGTAGGGGAAACATTCAAAACCTTACAGAAACGGGTAAAGCTCCTTCAAATGAAGGTTTTGGAAAGGTCTTGAAATGATGTATCATTGCATGAGACAAGAAAAGATTGTGAAATCACTGATAACAGAGGGTCCTGTGACGAGGCTCACGTAAACATGTTGAGAATAGTCCTGAGTCTGGGGTCAGGGGTCAAGTCCGGGACAGCAGTCTGGCAGTGAACAGACTGCCCAGAGCCAGACCGGCAATGAAGATCAGGACACCCCCCAGCCCACGGAACCCACGGAGCGCATGGAGGCGGACGCCAGCGCCGGGAAGCTGCTGATCTGCAACACACACACACACACACATGTAAGTAAGTAAGTAAGTAAGTTTTTTTATTTATATACCGCCTTTTCACTGCAGATCTGAGTCTCAAAGCGGTTTACAATTGTTAATTTTGGGCAGACACGGGGAGAACATGCAAACTCCACTCAGAAAGGCCCTGGTCCGACCGGGATTCGAACCCAGGACCTTCTTGCTGAGAGGTGAGAGTGCTATCCACTCAGCCACCGTGCCGCCACATTTCTCACATGTAGTGAGAAATACAGTGGCATGAAAAAGTATTTTAATAAAACCACCATCAAATGTGATTTGTCTCCAGCTTTCTCAAAATCTAATCTATTATTTTCATATTTGTAATGTTTGGATAAGGACAATGACAGAAGGGGGAAGAATTTTAAAAAGTTTCAGTTTCAGTGACCGACTTATTCACCCTCACTGTGTGACGGACAGGTTACGCAGGTCCTTCCTCCCTGCTGCTGTCAGACTGTACAACGAGAATGTGTAACGAGAACTGCTGAGTCTGCACAAGTGTCACTGATAATAATTCACTTGTAACTTTATTACTTGACCTGTTGATATTGTTACTGATGTGTATTCTGCTCATATTCTCTGCTGCTAAAGTACATTATACGCATCTGTAAATACTTCTGAACCACGTGCACTTATAGCTTCTTTTTTTTTTTTATTCTATTTTACCATTTCATCTCATTTTGATTCTATTGTCTATTATCTTAAATAAAAGGCCTTGTTTGATGTGTGCGTCTGAGTCTTTTTTTCCCTTCTTTCTCTGCTGTAATGTGACACTGAAATCTCCCCACTGTGGAACCAATAAATGAATATCTTATTAATAACTGGCACTATCTGATATCACGTAATGAACAGTCCAGGATCACCGCTAACCTTTCCTAAGTAAGTAAGTAAGTAAGTAAGTAAGTAAGTAATGCTGGACTCTTAACCCTGACCCCAACCGTAACGTTAAGAGGAGGAGACACACACCCATCCTCCGTGCTCCCGGATCCAGCCCAGCAAGTTGGTCCTGAAGAAGTCCACGGTCCACTGCAGGAGCTCCCGCACGCTCTGAGGAAGATGGGCCTCCACAAGCTACACACACACACACACACACACACACACACACACACACACACACACACACACACACACACACACACACACACACACACACACACACACACACACACACACACACACACACACACACACACACACACACACACACACACACACACACACACATACACGTTTTTGTTACCTGGTGGGTCCCTTTGACAGGGCCGTTCAGAATGGGACCCATAGACATAATCTTTTTTTACCAAGACTTTAAGTAATACAAAACAGTCAATAGAAACCAAACAACTATTTTAAAGGAATTTTATTTTAGATTTTGTTTTCGAATTGCAGTGATTCTATTTTTGACATAGAATTTAATGCCACTCCATGTCCGATGTCTAAGGTCATCTGGTGAGGCATTAATGCAGGCCAGGCAGTGAGACTTCCCAGGGACCTTTCCAGTCTGTATGAAAGGTGTCATGGTCTTCTCCACAGCCTTCACCTCAGATGCAGACCATGGCTTTCTTACACGTTCTAGGGAGAGAAATAAAAATATATTAGCAATATACACTCCCAGGGTGAGGACCAAGCAGCCTGGCTGTAATCCCCCACCTGGTACACTTACCAGAAGGGGCACTGCCACTACCATGGGGTGCATCTGGATGAATGGTTGAAGGTTCTCCGCTTGAAGTTTCTTTTAGCCCGTCCGTTTGTGAGAGGATCTCTACTGCTCTCCCTGTCGCACAGAAAATAAAAATACAAGTGGCCTTTAGGGGAAAAAAATCATACATATTTTAATAATATCAAGAATTACCTTCAGGCTCAATTTGTATCTGGTCGAGGCTCTTTCCTTCGAATTCCGTCACTCTTCCCTGCTCCATGGCCATCAACACTTTGCTGATTTTGGCCAGCTCCAGTGTCCCCTCTGGTAGTCTGTAATATTGCCTGTGGATGCGAATGTCATGGCCGAGGAAGTTGGCAAGTATGTCCATCTCATTCTCTTTCATATTGAGAACTGTAGACATAGTAGCTATGTGCTTTCTAAGTTTGGTTGAGGATAGCATCTCTGGATGCACCGCACCACATTCTTTGGCTACCTGGCGTAGGGAGTCTGATCCCCTGATGTGGGTGTCTGCGCCCGGGCGGGAAAAGAAGTATGGGTTATGGTCAGAGATGGAACAGGCCCTTCTGTTCTCCACCAGCACCTCCATCGAAGCAATCATTTCAGGAGTCAAAAGAACCGGCACTTTCCGACTTCTTTTCCCTTTAATTTCAATGCGTTGAAAATGCTGACACAGCTTTTTCTCAAGTTGGGACAGTCCCAGAGCAATGTCAGAATGGATCCCAGTCTTACTTCTTAAGGTAAAGGCTGTCAGTGGCATCTTTGAAACCTCACCTTCCCTTCTTCGATTGAAAATGATGACCTCACAAAGAGTCAAAACTGCCAGTTTAGACCAATGCTTAGACGTTGGCTCACTTATTAGGGTTTGCACATATTCAGGTCGACATACCTCAATATGTGCATGCATGGCTCTAACGTCCTCAGTCAGAGGGAGCAGGTCCGGAGTGTTCCACTTGGCTTGCCGGAGGGTCTGTAGGGCAGCAGAAGAAACACAGACGTCCCACCTCTTCTCAAAAAGCAGCCGGCTTCGTTGGAGGTTTTTAATAAATAGTTCATCAACACAATGCTCCATTTTTGAGTCACATTCAAGAATATCTGCTAGCTTTCTGAGGCTATGGCCGAGTTTGAGGGCCAAGGATGGAGTCTTGTATTGATTTGTTTCCTCATCATATCCAGCCACAGACCTGACTGCATCAATCACATGGTTAAAGTTGGAAGGAATAAAGAAATCCTTAATTGTTTTCAGTTTCCCTGCGGTTTTTGCTTCGTTAATTAACCTACCGACTTCTCTCATTTTCTGCCTAATGTAATCATGCTTTGTCTTATCATGCCCGTGTTTTAAGTACAGGTGCTCTCCGAGTCTCAGAATCCCCTTTTCTGCTTTGACAACACCCGTGACCTCATCCTGATGCATTGCCGAAATTAAAGACCACAGCTTTTTGCTGATGCCCTCCGGTACAGGCTGGGCTAGGGAGCAGAGGGACTGGACCCTACTTCTACCTGGTTTAGCCTGGGCATCTTTCTGTGAAAGCCGGCACCTGGCCACATGCCTCCACAGCGACTTTCGCTTAAGCAATGCCCCACAGTCTATACAGTGCAAAAACTCACTGGATTTAACTGGGCAATTTGGCTGTTTAGCTGGGACTAAAGTTCCAATGCCGGCCTTTAAAACCTCAAAATTGTGCTCACGGTTTCCACTATTCCTGATCAAATCAAACTGAAGTTTACGTGCTTTAGATTTCACAGGTAGAGCCAATGCTCTGGCTACGTCACTTTCATTTCCATGTTTTCTAGTCAAATGACGGGACATTTTGTGGCAGGACATTGAACAGTAGAGGCAGAAGTGTCTCTTGCTGTATACTCGCCCCCCATTTTTCTTCTTTTGCAGCTGCATGATAACAATCTTATTTGCCTTTGGTTCGTCACTTTCCGAGTCTTGAAGAAAAGTGTTTTTGATTTTTCTTTTTCCATACTTTTTTACAGGTTTCTTCTTGACAGTTAAATCGTCAGAATCTGAGTCGACTTCATCAATTAGGGACTCTTGACTAAGCTGCACAAACAACAAATAATTTGTAATCATTCTATATAACAATTTGAAGTCATGACTTGTAGTCAGCACTTACCAGTGGTTTGTAAGCGTGCGCTTCAGTGTGCTCCTCCATGATTTCTTGCAGCCTAATGAACCACACACTTGCACCTTTTTCTAGCCTGACACCTGATTTCCTCTGTTGTGCTGCTCCATGATTGGCTCCAGCCTGCTGGACTGAAATTGCCCCAGTGTGCCCCTCCTTGATATCCCGCAACCCACCACCAGGGTTCCGACACATAACACACTTTTTTCAGGAAAGTAAACCTCCAGGGGTCCTTTCCATATTTTTACAGAGACTGCATAAGGACCGTTAGAAAAGCATTACCCATTGATTATTAAGCTTGGACCAGTGGGGTCTGGTGTTCGGGCCCCACCACGTAAAACCAGTCCCCATGACGTGAGTGGAATCTCAGGTTATGGAACCCACCAGGAGTTGAAAACAAGTGCACACATATTCTCAAAGAATAAGGGTGGGCGCATTTCTCCCCGGGAGAGAGCGCATGAAATTTGTCTTGAAAAAGAGCAATGACAGGTCCCAGAACCAAGGGGAGTCCCTGGAGGTTTTAACCCCGAAAAAAGCCCTTAAATCCGGCTTAAAATAGGGCCATGCGGGTCCCAGAACCGGGGGGATTCTGTGGAGGTTCTATCCCCGAAAAAAGCTTAGAAATCCGGACATAAATGCAGCACTGGAAAGCCAGAGACCCAGGGGGGTCCTCGGAGGTTTTAACCCCGAAAAAAGCCCTTAAATCCGGCTTAAAATAGGGCCATGCGGGTCCCAGAACCGAGGGGATTCTGTGGAGGTTCTATCCCCGAAAAAAGCTTAGAAATCCGGACAGAAATCCGGACATAAATGCAGCACTGGAAAGCCTGAGACCCAGGGGGGTCCTCGGAGGTTTTAACCCCGAAAAAAGCCCTTAAATCCGGCTTAAAATAGGGCCATGCGGGTCCCAGAACCGAGGGGATTCTGTGGAGGTTCTATCCCCGAAAAAAGCTTAGAAATCCGGACAGAAATCCGGACATAAATGCAGCACTTGGAAAGCCTGAGACCCAGGGGGGTCCTCGGAGGTTTTAACCCCGAAAAAAGCCCTTAAATCCGGCTTAAAATAGGGCCATGCGGGTCCCAGAACCGAGGGGATTCTGTGGAGGTTCTATCCCCGAAAAAAGCTTAGAAATCCGGACAGAAATCCGGACATAAATGCAGCACTGGAAAGCCTGAGACCCAGGGGGGTCCTCGGAGGTTTTAACCCCGAAAAAAGCATTCTCTGTTCTCCTCTCCTTCTCTCTGCTCTCCTCTCCTTCTCTCCTCCTTCTCTCTGCTCTCTCTGCTCTCCTCTCCTTCTCTCTGCTCGCCTCCTCCCTGCTTTTTCTCTCTGCTCTCCTTCTCTCCTCCTTCTCTCTGCTCTCTCTGCTCTCCTCTCCTTCTCTCTGCTCGCCTCCTCCCTGCTTTTTCTCTCTGCTCTCCTTCTCTCTGCTCCTTCTCTCTGTTCTCTGCTCCTTCTCTCTGCTCTCCTCCTCTCTGCTCTCTCTGCTCTCCTCTCCTTCTCTCTGCTCTCCTCCTTCTCTCTGCTCTCCTCTCCTTCTCTCTGCTCTCCTCCTCTCTGCTCTTCTCTCCTTCTCTCTGTTCTCCTCCTTCTCTCTGCTCTCCTCTCCTTCTCTCTGCTCTCCTCCTTCCCCCTGGTCTATTTGACATTTTTTCCCACAAAAAATACATCCATCCATCCATTTTCTTCCCCTTAATCCATTTCTGGTTTGAGGAAATGGATTAAAGCTGCTCTAACTGACTTTCTGACATTTTCAAATGTGAGCGCTGGCCTCGCTCTTTTTGCTCGCCCTCCCCGCTAGGAGCTTTCGCCCCCCACTACCCCCCTCCCCCTCAGCCTCAGCCTCAGCCTCAGCTCATGCTAACTGTATATGGAGCTCACGTCTCACAATATTGACACATTTGAACGTGGATGGTGTGACCATAGAATGATTGAACTGGGAAGCGCGGAGGAACGAGACTTTCTTTTGGATGGCTGTGTAAGCAGTAACCGGTAACGAAGACATGGCAAGTTTCAGGTTAGCCTCCGCCGCTTGTTTACCTCAGCTGTCTCTGCTAACAAGAGACCTGTGGCTTTTCTCAAGAAAGTGGGGGCCAGTGGTCCGCTGTGATTGGTCACAATCTGGTCCCGAAAAAAATTCTCTTCCTCGATCTAAAATAAAATGACACGCTAGCACAAATCTGTGCTACTTTTTCTTCAAAAGGACATATGTCCCAATGTATTGCATGGACATGGATTGAATTTTCGTAATGAATACAAAA